AGGTACTGCCAACCTCTGCCACGACGACGGGCATCCAGCAGGCGCCACACAGTGAAAAGCCCATCCTCGCCAACCCCTCGAGGCGGAGGCTTGGGATCCGGAGAAGGAGCGAGGGGAGAAGTCCGCACTGGTCTTAGCTGGGACATATGGAAGACGGGATGGATTTTGAGAGGCCTGGGCAGGAGGATACGATACGCCACCGGGTTATTGACCCTCTCCAAAGGGTAGGGCCCCAAAAATCATGGAGCGAGCTTCCGGGAGCCAGCGGGTAGGCGCATGTTCCGGGTAGACACCCATACCTTGTCGCCAGGTTGAAAAGTTGGCCCAGTCCGGTGGCGGCGTTTGTGCTGGCGAGAGTACTCTGTGTTAGCTCGCTTGATGGCTGCCCAGGCACGGACCCAGGCGAGGCGGCAACGCCGGACCAGGGTCTGGGCAGCGGGGACCTCAGTCTCAGGTTCCTGGTGGTGGAAGAGAGGGGGCTGGTATCCGTAACATAACTCAAATGGGGAGAGACCAGTGGCCAAGGAGATGTGGAGATTGTGGGACATCTCCGCCCACAAGAGGTATTTGGGCCAAGTGGTTGGTTGGGACGAGGCAAAGCAGCGGAGATACCAACGAAGTTGCTGATTTGCACTCTCAGTCTGCCCATTAGTTTGGAGGTGGTAGCCAGAGGAGAGACTACTACTGGCACCAACCAGCCGACAGAAGGCCTTCCAGAATCTTGACATAAACTGGGGTCCCCGATCTGAGACAATGTCCTGGGGAAACCCATGGAGGCACACCACCTGCTCCAGGAGGATTTCAGCTGTCTGCTTGGCTGTGGGCAGGCCAGGAAGAGCCACTAGGTGGACCGCCTTCGAGAATCTGTCCACGATGGTTAGAATGGTCTTGAGCTGGTTGACAGGAGGTAATCCTGTGACAAAGTCTAGGCCGATGTGGGACCATGGTCGGTGTGGAATTGGGAGAGGTTGTAGATCTCCAGTCGGGGGTTTGTTTGGGGTCTTGGAGCGGGCACAAGTGGGACAGGTGGCCATGTATTCTTGGACATCTTTGGCCATAGAGGGCCACCATAGCGCACGCCGTAGGAACTGGAGGGTTCGGGTCTCCCTTTGGTGACCAGCCAGGCGGGATGCATGCCCCCAGGCCATGGCTTCAGAGCAGCAGGTGGAAGGCATATAAAGCTGGTCGGAGGGCACATTGGCAGGTGCGGAATCGATGGGCAAGGCAGCCTGGATGGCGTCCTCTACTGGCCAGTGGAGAGCTGCAATAAACTCCTGGGCTGGGAGAATGGGTGGTGGTTCCCTGACGCGTGCAGATTGGGTGTAACGGCGGGAAAGGGCGTCAGCCTTCAGATTCTTTGAACCAGGGCAGTAGGCCAGGTGGAGTGAAATGATTAAAAAAGCAGTGCCCAGCGGGCCTGACGGGGATTGAGTTGTCGAGCGTTCTGGATGTGGATGAGGTTCTGGTGGTCCGTCCAAATGGTAAATGGGTCCGAAGTACCCAACAACCACTGCCGCCATTCATCCAAGGCCCATTTAACGGCCAGGAGCTCCCTGTCGCCAACCCCGGAATTACTTTGGGTTAGAGAGAATTTACGGGAAAAGTAGGCACAGGGATGAAGCTTAGAGTCGGGACCGCGTTGGGACAGGACCGCACCTGCCCCCACCTCAGAAGCGTCCCCCACAAGCGTCCACCTCCACTACAAAAGGTCTTGTTGGATCCGGATGTACGAGGATGGGAGCAGTGGTGAAGCGGTGGACAGGGTGTGGAAAGCCTGTATGGCCTCAGGAGTTAGACGGAATGGGCTGGTCTGGTTTGACAATCTGGTTAGGGCAGTGAGAGGAGCCGCGATGGAGCTGAAACCGCGTATAAAGCGGTGATAGAAATTCGAGAAACCCAGGAAGCTCTGAAGCTGTTTCAGGGAAGTGGGTATCAGCCACTGGGCCACAGCCTGGACTTTCTGGGGGTCCATTGAGAACCCCTGAGATGAGACAATGAACCCCAGGAAGGAAATGGTCTCCTGATGAAAAGCACATTTCTCTAACTTACAGTAGAGCCGGTTTTCCAACAACCGGGAAAGGACTGCTCGGACGTGTGTGATGTGCTCCTCCAGGGTTCAGGAATAAATCAATATGTCGTTGAGATAAATGAAAACCCATCTGCCCAACATGTCCCTCAGGACATCCGTGATAAGGTGTTGGAAAACTGTGGGGCTGTTGCATAGGCCAAAAGGCATCACTAAGTATTCCCAGTGGCCTGTCGGGGTGATAAAGGCGGTCTTCCACTCGTCGCCTCGCTTTATCCTGACTAGATTGTAAGCACTGCGCAGGTCCAACTTGGTGAAGATGGTGGACTGGGACTGGACTGGGATGGTGGACGTCCAGGGCGGTAGTCATCAAAGACAAGGGGTGACGATCTCGGACCGTGATCTTATTTAAACCCCGATAGTCAATGCAGGGTCGAAGACCCCCTTCCTTCTTCTTCACGAAGAAGAACCCCACGGCTCCTGGCAAGGTGGAAGGGCAGATGAAACCATGTTGAAGAGCGTCGGCGATATAGGCATCCATGGCCTGAGTCTCTGCTGGGGACAGGGAGTACAAGTGGCCCCGTGGTGGAACAGAACTGGGCAGGAGTTTTATCTCCAGGTCACAAGGGCGGTGAGGAGGCAAGACGGTGGTAGGACTCTTTGAAAAAACCTGAGCCAGGTCATGATAACAGGAGGGGAACTGTGAACTATCGACATCCTCAGGAACTGGGTGGCCAGGCTCTGAGTCGGGTTGAGGAGGTTGATGAGAATGGCAAGCAGCACCGCAGGTAAGCACTCGGCCAGATGACCAGGAGATCTGGGGATTAAGGCGCAGGAACCAGGAGTGACCCAGGATCAGGGGGGACAAAGGATCTGTCACAATGAGGAACCGGAGAGTCTCGGAGTGGGGAAGTATGCCCATGCGGAGACCAACCGTTTCTTGGTGGATTGGATAGGGTCTGATAGGGGTTCCATCCACGGAGGTGACGGGAATGGTCTGGCAGAGGGAGGACAGGGGAACCCGAAGTTGAGAGGCTAGATCTTGATCCATGAAGCAGTCGGCTGCTCCGGAGTCCAGGAGCGCCTCCAGCTCGACGGGTCCCTGGGGAAGATGAAGAGTGACTGTGAGCAAGGTGCGGGTCGAGGGGGCTCCGGTTACTCCAAGTAGGACCCCTCTGCTGCTGCCTACTTGGAGTCTGTGTTTCCCGGCCGGAGGGGACAGGTGATACGCCGATGGCCAGGTGCATCACAGTAGGCGCACAGCCCCTCCCTATAGCGTCTCTCTCTTCTGGGTTCAGGTGACCCAGCTGCATGGGTTCGTCAGGGGACAAACTGACTGGGCGAGGACGGGCTGGTGCTGAGGTCGTCGTTACAGGCGGTTCAGCGGGTCGACGGGTAAAAAGGCGCAGGTACATCTGAAGAGCAAGGTCGGCCGCCTCGTCCAGGGTCTCTGGGGTCTCCCTCCCTATCATCCCGTCTCGGACACGTGGGGAGAGCCCCTCAAGGTAGACTGCTTTCAGGGCATCATCCCCCCATAGCAGTTTGGCAGCCGTGGTTCGGAACCAGGATGTGTACTGGGCTACAGTCTGACTCCCCTGTCGGAGCTGAAGGAGTTGGGCCTCTGTCGATATCTCGCCGCTGGGGGGAACAAAAGCCCTCCTCAGTTCGGCCACAAAAACATCATTGTCATTGCAGGCCTCCGATTTCTTGTTATACAGGGCTGCGGCCCACTCCTGAGCTCGGCCGGTAAGGAGGGAGGCGAGCAGCGCCACGCGGGAGGGGGCTGTGGCATAGCGGTGGGGCTGACACTCGAAGGTCATAGCAAGTGTGGCTAACATTCCCTCAGGGGAGCCGTGCGTGCCGTCCCACTTCTCCAGGAGGCTGAGGATCGGTAACTCCCATTCTCTGGAGGTCTGCTGCTGCACAGAGGAAAGCTGGAGAACTACTGTGGCTATGGATACCACTTTGTCAGCTAGGCGTCCCACAGTAGCTTCCATCTGGATCACCTGCGATCGCAGGGACTCAAACTCCGCTGGGTCAATATTAGACTCAGTCACCCTCTAAGGCCTGACTCGAGCTGAGCTGAACCGGAGCGAGAGTTCGGGATGTAGCGTGTTTGTAAACCCAAGCGCGGAGTGACTGACGCTGGGCAGGTTGGCACGCGGTTTGTTCTAGGAGTCAAACCGTATAATGACTGGAGAGCACGGCGGCTCCAAAAGGTAACAAGCTGACTTACTTTGAGTCGGCAGGGTGAGTAGCATGGGCTGATCTGGTCAGAACGGGCTGAGTGATCAGGTTGGATCTGGTCGGAACTCGGAGCACAGTTCGGTTAGAACAATGACCGAGTGGTTTGGCGTTGAGCTGTACTTCCTTATGTAGATGTGGCAGGTGACGTGGGCCGGAAGACTGGCGCTGGGAATGCTGGGTAGTGGAGTTCGGTTGGCCTGAGTGAGTGTGTGGTCCTCCCCCGGAGGATGTCGAGGGTTGTGAAGGAGGCAGCGTGACAGAGGATACTGTGTTGTAAACAAACTAAAATGAATTAAATCAGTAACATGCACCATCTGTAAACATACAAGGATCATATCTTGAGGGATTCAATTAAAGTGACTCCTAATTGGTCAAATGTTGTAAAATCCAAAAGACTACACACACAACTTTTATTTTTTTAGGTCTGTATGAATCACACTGGAGTTCAGTATTGATATATTTTACTATATTTAAATATAAAAGTTTGCATTTATTATCTTTATTTAGATAAATCTCTATTAAGCTGCTTTGTGAGGCTACAGATCTATTGGTCCCCTTTACTTTCTATCAGATTGCTTTGATTTTAAGCTTTTCCTGTTTAATTACAATAAAGGTAGGTGGGTGATCTAAAAAAACTTTTTTGTTTCTAAAGCAAACCATGTCTTCATTAATTCTAGTCCTAGATTTGTGAGGCCAGGTCTCTATATTTAAAGAACAAATATAAAATGTATCTAAAAGAATTACTTGAGCAGAAAATTCCTGCCCATCGCTCTTAAAGGGGGATGGATTGCGATAAACAACCCTAATCCTCTGGTTTCACCTCCTACGCCTCCTCAGCTTTGTCCGCCTCTTGTTCTCGGTCTCGCTGCTTCACCCTCTCTCGTCTCTGAGCTGGATGCTGCTAAAGTCAGCTTCTGAATGCTCTTTACTCCAGCTGCTTTCATCCTTTTGGTGGAGAGTTTGTGCATGGATTGTTTTTTTAAAAAAAAAACCAGGAAAACCATTTAAAGGAATGCAAAGCAGCGAGAAGGACGGACTGAGAAACTGCACGAGGAGAGTGAAACAAATCTGGAAAAAGTTAAGTTGGAGAGTGAGCTGCAGAGACGAGCAGAAGGAGCTTTAACTTTAACGGCAGAAAATATTAACTTCCAGCAGGTAAGAACATGCTTCTGTCTCAGTAATGTAATAAACTGCTGCAAGTGAAATTTCTTGTGTTGGAGAATGTGAAATGTGCATAAATTTTTGGAGTCTGTGTAGAAAAAGTCCCAACTTTCTTCAATCTGATTTTCTGTTTTGAGAAGATCCAAAAAGTTTAAGAATGTTTTACGAGATTTTTTTTCCATCTGTTGTCTGGGGAGTAAACTTCCGTGTCTAAATGTGTGAACAAGTCAAGAAGCAGCCATCAACAGGTGACCTGTGACCTGTGTCTTGCATCACCTCGCTCTTCTGTCTGCAGGATTGCCCAGACGACGTTCGAATGCATTTATCACTGGACACCATGAACATAGTGGATGACAGCTGCCTCTCACCCAGTAATTTCCATGAAATGGGAAAAGGTGGGAGCGCCGCAGTCGGGGGACGTGTCCACAGCATCGATGTCATTCTGGGTTTCAATAAAGACCACGACCCCTTGTTAAGTCCCTCTGGGGCTCTGGGGCCCCACAAAGTGAACATCGATGGGCTCACGGAACACGGGAAGCAGCAGGACAACTCGTCCCGCGTGTCCTACAGCGGACACCTGTCTTCTGTGAGGAACAGCAGCTCCCAGCAGCACCACCAGTACCAAGGTGAGAGAATCATCTTAAAAGATCAGCACCTTAAAATGACACTTAAAGCTACTTCACACATTTTCTGTTTGTTTTCTGGCCAAACTAAACCAATAGATTTTGATTTTGTTTATAAATTATTAGATATTTTTCTCACCCAAGGCACCTTAGTGGGTTCTTTCATTGATTGGAAAACTGCTTCTTAGAATATTGGACTAATATGAAGTTTGTCTTGAGTTTATCTGGGATTTTTAAGATCAAATTGAATTTTTTTAGCATCAAAGTTACATTGATTCCTTTGAAGAAACATAACTTTTTCTCTGACCATAAACTTATTTTTTATCACCAAGACAAGCTTTAATGATCCCAGCAAACATCATACTAAATAAATAAATAAATAAATAAATAAACAGTCACCACATAGTTTATCGCTATGAGTTGAAACTTTCTTTTAAAGTATTTAAAACAGTTTAGGTGGAATTATCATTAAAGACTAAAAGTTTTCTGACTAAAACGCCTTTAAAGAAAAACAGGTAGTCCTCTGCTTTTCTGTTGTGGAATTTATGATCATAAAAGACTTAAAATGAAATTAATAAAAAAATAAATTACAAAACCTAACTAAATTTTTAAATCAACATAATTAATTAAAATCAAATTTTTTCATCTGTGTGTGATCTGTGATCAGATCAGACTTAGACACATTATTATTATTATTATTATTATTATTATTATTATTATTATTATTATTATTATATGACCTTTGTTATCGAGCTTTTACATGGTTTACATCTATATGAATAAATAAACCATTATAGAAGCTGATTCAGGATCAGTGTGCTGTAGCCATAGAGCCTGTTGCATTAACTGAACTGAGAGATAAATCACAGGACAAGATGGTGTGTGGGGGGGTTATGGCCCCAAGACCAATCCCTTCTCCTTGTGGAATTCCCCCCTAATCTTCTCTTCAGCGCAGATTAGATTACAGATTATTACAGCAGTTCATTCGGGTGTTATTGTTATCATTCCGTTTTAGAATCAAATTTAATCTGAAGCTATTTTCACAGGCGGGATCAGGCAGGTGGTCCGTACTTTTCACATTAGAGATGAAAAGAATCACAATGATTTATCTGCGGGTGAATCTGGAGAAATCTGTAATTATTTCAGTTTTGTTTGTTTAGTCCACTTCAGCACTAATGACATCACTCTTGTTACGAGTGTTTGCTGTGAAGTCAGTCCAGGTCCTCCTGAATGAGCTGCTTTTCAGCATTCGGTGTCACTCGCCTGCTTTGTCTCTATGCTCAGATGTTGTCCCGGCTGAGAAACAGTGAAACAGTGGGGAGGCTTCAGACCAGTGGCCGTGATGGGCTGACAGGCCAAGAGCTGGTCACTGAACCAGACCAGACCTCTGCCTTTGTCAGTGCCCGCTCTTTGTCATTGCTCCTTAATGAGAGGTGGACAAATGAACCCCCTAAATCCTGCTTCGCTTTTCGATGGTTCTTCTGTTTGTAAATGCAAAGAACGACCTCTCAGATTCTCTCAGCCAAACATCCATTAAGCAGAACCAACATGACATTTCTGAGACTTGGCTGTGCAAGATTGACTTTCATACTAATCGCAGCCATGTTGACTTGTTTGATACATTTATTTGGTATAAAATCACTGCAGTCAGCTTTTTCATAAATGTTCACTTGAGTCTGCACAAGTTCTTACCTTTTAATATATTTTTTGGATGCTACAGCTCACTGATCGGCTGCATGACTTGAAAATGTACTTGTTAAAGTAACACACAGAAGTGTTCCTGTTCCTTTAACCTAGTGGTTGAAAGTGGAATTACAACTATCGTAAATAATCCTGCTACGAGCTCCTGTGGCTAGCACTAACAATAACACGAGCCAACTAAAATAAACCACGGCAATAAAAGATCCCCTTACAAGTGATAAATGATAATGATAATTTACCTGCCTGTCAGAGTCAGAGGACTCCAAAGTGCTTTACACTGCAGTTCATCCATTCACACACACACACACACACACACACACACACACACACACACACACACACACACACACACACACACACACACACACACACACACTGATGGTGATGAGCTACATTGTAGCCACAGCTGCTCTGGGGCGCACTGATGGAGGCAAGGCTGCCAGGCACAGGCACCACCGGTCCCTCTGACCACCACCAGCAGGCATGGTGGGTTTAGTGTCTTGCCCAAGGACACAACAGCAGAATTCTCTGTCTGAAGCCAGAATCGAACCTGCAATCTTCCAATTACTGGACAACCCACTCAACCTCTTGAGCTCTTGCTTCCCCTGATGTCCAGTAGCAAGAAAGTTAGGTCACCATCAGTCTGTGATTTTGTAGCCGCCTTCAGCTTCCTCAAACTAGCATAGGCCATGTTGATGTTTACTCTGGTTTTAGCTCCAAAGACAATACTCCTACTTTTGCTTCCAGGCTCCGCCATGATGACAAAAGAAAAAGTAAACCTCTTCCTGTGCTTTTTATTGACTATCAGCAAACTGAAAATGCTAACCCCTAGCATTACAGCTAACAGCCATAAAGCAGGTTAAGAGCTCCCTCCGTTCCACAAAACTATCACGTGCAATTTTTGGTCAGTAGGGAGCTGCAGAGTGGTGTCAAACATAAAACTGGTTAAGTTGCCAATTCAAAAATCACTGAGATCAATGTTAAAGCTCTAGCTTAAAAAAATCTATTACTTTAAGATGATCCAACTCCTTTTAATGTAATCATAAAACAACATTAGTTTTAAATAAAAGGCTTTTATGCTTTATTCAGGGGTTAGAAGAGACAGTCTCCCTGATCTTTAACGCAATCTAACATGTTCAATGGTTGCATTTATGCTGTTTCCCTTCATCAATATCTATCTTGGTGCTCTATGCAAAGATGAATATTCATCCAAAATCTTGCATGGTAACTATGAAAAAAAGTTAAACAGAAAGTCATAGAAAAAAAGACCCTATATGTTTTAAATGTTAATTAACAAATCTGAGTTTAACAGCAACTATTTGAGGTCTAGATTCTTCCAAATATTATTTCACTTAACCTGCCTTACCTGCTGGTGGTGGTTGCAGGGACCGGTGGTGCCAGTGTTCAATAGGCCCGCCTCTTGTCAGTGCGCCCCAAGGCAGCTGTGGCTACATCGTAACACATCCCCACCAGCGTGTGAATGGGTGAATGACTGATTGTGTTGTGAAGCGCCTTGGGGGGTTGTGAGACCCTAAGAAGCTGCTGTACAAATACAGGCCATTTACTTCATGCTCTAAATTTGAATGTCTTCTGCAAGAAAATCTAGATGACCTTCTTTCTGTGATAGGAATCTTATCAAGCTTGGGATGAATGGTGTATAGCTTTTGAATCAGGTCCAAACTTGGCAGAGATCAACTTCTCTGTTGCTGTTGCTTCGCACAAGATACTGATCTGATCTTATCTGGGGTATCACCAACCTGGTACCGCCTTTAATGAAATCACTTATTGTTTATTTATTTAGCACATTCATTGAGCAGTTACATTTGTTGTATTCTTTCAAATTTCACAACATTACAACAACAATGATCAAATGGAGTAGGCTGAAGCAAAGAAGCTTATGTGCGCCTACCCCACATTACAATTTTATACTATTTACAATATTAGACTTTTTGACAGTAAATGTTTTGTTAATGAACCTTTCATGCATATTTTTTAATTCAATTTTATATTTTGTACTGTTTTTTTATGTAACAACACATAGAATAAAACTAAGAAGCTTTTCCATCACATATTCTCAACATATTTCTCAATAACAATCATCTTATATTGTCTTTTAAATAGTAGTAAACTAGTAGCACTCTGTAAGTTGCCATCTAAACCATTCCAAAGCTTAACACCTCTTCTGGATATGCAGTGAGTTTTGATGGTTGTGCGGGCGCATACCACCTTGAAATTATTTGATCCCCCAAATCGTATCCACCCTCTCTATCAAAAAACAGCTGTTGAATATTGATTGGTAATTGATTCTGTCCTGTTTTGTACAAAATTAGCATTGACTTTTGGTTAACTAGATCTTCAAGTTTTAAGATTTTAGACTTCATGAAAAGTGTATTAGTATGGTCTGTGAAACCAACATTATGTACAATCCTAATAGCTTTTTTAAGTCTAAATACTGCCTCCAGATGCTTGCTGTAGGTATTACCCCAGACCTCTGCGCAGTAGCTAAGATGGGGAGAATAAATGCATAATACATGATTAGTAGAGCTTTGTGGTCCAGAAGGAATTTACAATTTCTCATAAATGCAATGTTCTTTGCCAATTTCTTTGGTATGCTATGTATATGAGATCTCCAGCTGATATTGTGAGTAAGTATCACTCCCAGAAATCAATACTTATTTACCTTTTCTATTTCATTGTTCATTTTGATTCTGATTTCAATGTCTTTAGTTTGTTTACCAAACAGCATCATTTTTTGTTTTTGATATATTTAAAGATAATTTGTTTTTGTTAAACCAGTCTTTAAGTTTTTCTAATTCTGCTGTCATCTCTGTCTTAAGTAATTGTAGATCTTTACCTGAACATAATATTGTAGTGTCATCAGCAAATAAGATGATTATGAGTTTTGATGATACCCTGCATACATCATTTATATATAGAAGAAACTTAGTGGTTAAAGCTAACTTTTCACAGCTCCGCATGCTTACTTGTTTACTTTCTTGCTTTGCCTTTTTTTAACTGTTGAAAATTATGAAGGTCAGAAGGAAGAATAGCATTGTTACTCCTATTTTTGCAGTTTGCAGATGATTTATTGCAAAGTGGCTTACAGATTAACCAAACATACATGCTTTCAGTATGGGTGAGGAAAGCAGAGTATCTTGATAAAATCCACACATGCACTGGGAAAATATGCAATCTCCACACAGAAAGGCCGCAGCCAGCATTTAAACCAGCAGCCTCCTTGATGCAAGGCAACAAAGCTCTCAACTGTGGCACCATGCAGCTGTCAGAGTCATCAGAGCTGTAGCCATGTTTGGTTCATTCCTATTTGATAGTAATCATCTATGAGTAAGAAGAGAGTAAATGTACAGTTTATATTTTTGAGAACTGGGAACAATTTTTCTAAATCCGATCAGGAATGTTTCTAATGTCCATCATGGTTCAGGATATTGCTTGCTTCACTGAGCTATTGTTTGACTGAACGTTTGCTCTGCTGGAATGTCAGTTATAAAGTATTCACTTGAAGACACTTCTCCTGCAATCCTTCAATTCCGATTCTCATTACCTGAACAGAAACGGGCTTGTTTGCAAACAAGAATGATGATGAACTCAGCAATCTGAGGCAGAGTGTGGAGAGTGATGAAAGCAAGTCCCCTGAGCCATGCAAGGATGATCAACCCAAGAAGAAACACAGACGCAACCGCACCACCTTCACCACCTACCAGTTGCATGAACTGGAGCGCGCTTTTGAGAAGTCCCATTACCCGGATGTGTACAGTCGGGAGGAGCTGGCCATGAAGGTGAACCTCCCTGAAGTCAGAGTGCAGGTAAGATCAACTTTGACAGACGAGAACCACAAAGATAGTTTTGTATTACCTCCTGTCTAATTGGCCAGTGCCAGTCAAATAGCTTTGTGCTAATGTAATCATATCCTTTTTTAAATCAAAGCCTTTACCCTGTCACCTCAAATAGCCTTCCCAAATCAAGCCAAAGCCTTTGGCCCTCTGCCTGTGATGTTGAAGTGAACAGATTGTACTAAACAATTAGGAAGCACGCGAAGGGATAAGAGGACAAGAGCAGAGGTTACAGTAAAAGGGACTCCTTTACATTTAGATTACTCCTGTGGTGCAGCGTGTGTCCTTATGGACACGTTATTTCCTGAAGCTAGTTGAGCACATCTTCAGATATGTCCCAAACTTCAGTCCAAATGATTATCTCTGGGATATTAAGGACTTAACTTCACTGCATCCAGGCAATTTTTGAATCCAGGAAGTTCTGAATGCAGAGAAGTATCAAGTTGTTCTTTAAAAGTCTTGATGCTGGGATGCCCTGGTCTGGCAGGAGAGACATTTAAAGCACTAAGTCATCAACCATTGCCTGTCATCTAAGCATTCTTGCATAACGTTCTGCAAAAGAAAAAAAAGTATTTAAATTTTTATGGTTATTAAATCTTTCATTTCTACTCTATTGATTTAGCTCTCATTCAGGGTTGAACCTTGTGAATATTTGTTTTCAGTTACCACTATATTTATTTGAGGGACAGAATGAATAAGATGATTAAAATGTATTTTGTTTACGTGGGTTAAAAAACAGGAAATAAACACTGTACAAAAGCTTAAAACCGCTTCTGCTTAATCCAAATGTATTTCTTTCTTTTTTTGTTTTTGAGGGATCGTTGGCTTCTTTCCTCCCATTTTTCTATGTTCATTTGCAAATGAGATTTTTACATTAATCAATCAATCAATCAATCAATCAATCAATCAATCAATCAACCAATCAACCAATCAACCAATCAATCAATCAATCGGGTTTGATTTATAAAGCGCTTTTCAAGCAAAGTGCTTTACAAAATTAAAATGACCCCAAGTTCCCGCAACAGTTTTAAAGCATTAACAGTTATATATACACACACACACACACACACACACACACACACACACACACACACACGCACGCACGCACGCACACACACACACACACACACACACGCACGCACACACAAACGCACGCACACACACACACACACACACACACACACACACACACACACACACACACACACACACAAACACACACACACACACACACACACGCAAGGTAAGGCAAGCTAAACGCCATCAGAGGAGTCGTCTAAGTCAGGGCGCTCAGAGGAGGGAGGGCATAGACCCCCACCTCCACTCAACCACTACCTGTAGTGCGCCCAGGCAGCAACAGTCGACCACCGCCCCTGGGGCAAAAGGACCCCACAGCGAAAACACTGGATTAAAATAAGTAAAAATATAAAATATATAAAAATATCAAATATAAAATAAAAGAGCTAATATAAATGACAAAAGTAAAAAAAATAAATAATAAATACAAAATATGGAAAGTCAAATAATAATATAATTAAATAATGAAACTGTGCTAAAATATAATCATATAAAACATGCAAAGCAAGTAATAAAATATAATCATTTAAAACGAGAAATAAAACTGTAATACATAATTGGATAAAACACTGATTTACAGAAACTGATGTTGTGCACTAGAACAAACTCTAAAATCAGAGTATTTTTACTTAAGATAACATCCATTGAAACACTAAATTTGTTTCTGTCAGTGTGCAAAAATATAATTAATCCAAGATCCTGACACCCGCTTCTTAGAAAAACCAAGTCTTGACGCCTCTCTTCATAGCAGCTTCAGACCCATCTCTAAACTTCTGTTCATCTCCAAGATCTTGGAAAAGGTTGTGGCTAAACAACTCACAGCTGCTCTTGATGAACATAACATCTATGATAGCTTACAGTCAGGTTTTCGTCAGGCTCATTCTCCTGAAACAGCTCTTCTTAGGGTCTCTAATGACCTTCTGACTCACAGTGATGCAGGGGACTGTTCTGTTCTGGTCCTGCTGGACCTGACTGCAGCCTTTGACACTGTTGACCATCACCTGCTACTGGAGAGGCTGAGAGACTGGGTAGGCCTATCAGGAACTGCTCTGGAGTGGTTCTCCTCTTATCTCTCTGAGTGTTACTTCTCTGAGGCCATCTCCAAGTTTAGGTCCTCCACCACATCCCTCACCCATGGTGTCCCACATGGTTCTGTGCTGGGGCATTTACTGTTCCTCCTCTATCTGCTTTCTCTCCAGCACTTCCTGAGCTCTTTAAAGGAATATCCTACCATCTTTACACAGATGACAACCAACTGTACATCTCCTTTAAGCCCCATGAGATGTCTAAGCTGCAGCTGTTACACACCTGCTTAGACTCTATTAAAACCTGGATTGCTGGGAGCTTTCTTCAGCTGAATGAAGATAAGACTGAGATCCTCATCTGTGCCCCAGATAAGCTGGTTTCCAAAGTCAGAGACTCTCTTGGTCAACTTTCTTCTCACACCAAACCCTCTGTCAGGAATCTTGGTGTGACCTTTGACCCAGCTGTCAGTTCTCTTGTTCGCTCTTCCTTCTTCCATCTCAGGAACATTGCTAAGCTAAGTCCCATTCTGTCCCACTCTGAAATTGAGACAGTTATCCACACCTTCATCTCCTCATGCTTAGACTACTGTAACTTTTTGTTTTACTCTAATACTGGATGAAACTGGCTAGAGGCTAACAATGCTAAAAGTGAATCCGAAGTAAATAATTGGCACTAAGATTATCTCAAGCTACTTTTTCAATTACCAACAACTCTATTACAGCAAAATGTATGTGTGAACTGAATAAGTCAGTCGTGGCATTTTACTTTGTTAGATGAGTTGTTCGGAACCATAACAGCAAGATGGCAAACTCCCTTTATGTCAGGGGGCTTACCACCATAATAAGCGTAGTAAGAGCTCCCTACCATAAAACACCCTAGATTAACATCAGATATGACTATGTATTTTGCCTACTTATCAACTTAGTGTGTATGGCTTGTTTTCACTCGTCATCTAGAATCTTCTGGTGCTAATCCGTGGATGGGAACAGTTGCTCAGAGCGGACACGTTTGTATTGATACATGAGCTGCAGTACCCATATTTGACCATAAGATGCCTTTCTTACTGCATACAACTTCAAATTTTTATAAATAATTTTCCATTTCTTTTCCAGGTCTGGTTTCAGAACCGTAGAGCTAAATGGCGTCGGCAGGAGAAGATGGATGCAAGCACCATGAAGCTTCATGACTCCCCTATGCTTTCCTTCAATCGTCCGCCTGTGGGACACTCCAACATGGGTCCAATAAGCAATGCGCTCCCTTTGGACCCCTGGCTGCCTTCTCCCCTCTCCAGTGCTACACCAGTCCACTGTATTCCAGGCTTCACGGGTCCAGCTCAGGGCCTCCAGCCCAGCTATCCCAGCCATGGATTTCTCAACAACACTCCTCATGCTCCTCACCCTCACCCTCACCCTCACTCTCATCCTCATCCTCAACCACCCACAGGGCAGGGGATGCAGAGCATGGCTCCCCTTCCTCCTCCTTACCAATGTTCAGCATCCTACCCTGAGAAGTTCCCCATAGAGGATGTGTCCCAGCGCAGCTTTAGCATTGCTGCACTGAGAATGAAAGCCAAGGAACACATCCAGTCTATGGACAAGACCTGGCAACCCATGTGACAGAAAAAAAAATCATAAAAAAATAAAACAAGTGACAACGCTGGAAAGGAAATCCTGGAATGAGAAAGCTGTTACATCAGCTGTAAGGAAAAGAGAAGTGGATCCTTGAACTGCAGCTTTTGGGGGGAATTCATCATCTCAAGGACAAAGTAAAACCTGATCTGAGGTTTGTTATTTGAAACAATCAAGTGTTATCGTTATCAGTAGTTGGTTTCTGTGTCCTATAGGTGCTGCCGCATGAAACGGTGACCACTGCTCCTGTCATAACCTGCACTCATATAGTAAGCATTTAAATCCATGACTTTTATTAACAACATTATTACAAGCATTCTTCTGTACTGTGCATGATCCTTAACTGGTTTTCAGCACATCACTTGGGTAGTACGGTTGCTGTTACTGATGTAGTTGAACATCTTTGTGTGAGGTCACAATTGGGAGCTATAAGCAGAGAAGAATTGCCATTTTTAAAAACTAAGACTGAAAACATACCAAATAATTTCTAACTTTCTGCTTTAAATGTAAAAGGATGTGAGGAAGCGGAGAGGCTGACCAGCGGAGTGATTATTTATTTTTTGAGTGTCAGTTGGGGAATAAACCTGTTGGCAGCCTGGAGCTGGTGTCAGTGTGTACGTGCAAGGCAACAGAAAGAGCCCTGTGTGATGCGTCACCCCAAATAGTTTGGTCTTTGTTTAACAAAATTGATCCAAGTGCATCTTCTTTGTCTGAAGCTGAAGGGGGAGAAACGGTCTCAGGCTGCACTAAATGGGCCCATTTTGTTATGGAAGGCCTTTTTTTTTTCCAGTGATCAAATAAGAAACATGAACTGTAGCTGTGGTCATTAGTGACTCAGTATTGGTCTGTTACCATCTGTTACAATATCGATTGAGTAGTCAATAATTTAAATGTAGAAAGAACTGAATAAGGAGGAGATATTTCAACAGCTCAAGAAACCCCAACTGATTTTATACAGGTGGAAATGTAGTGTGGTTGATTTTTTATTTGACTTGACAATGGAGAAAGAGGGAGGACAAATCCACCACTTTAAAGTGCAATCCCAAGTTGTTCTTTAACAATATTTTCAAAGGAGTTTCTTTCATTTCATGTACTTTGTAAATGTGGTTGTGGCATTTATCCTTAATATAAATTCAAAAAGCAACAAAAATCACAAAGCTCATCCTCATTTCAGTTAGGGATTTTTTTCTGCACGCCAATAAAGAACTTCTGGATTATCATTAAATGTTTCTTTTAGGTCAAACAAAAATGTGACTTTAGACCAAAGGTTGGAGATGGTGGACAGATTTGCACTAGAAGAATTTTTGGGTTGGCTTTTGAACAAAATGTGGGAAAAGTCCATGATGCTGTCAGCAGTACATGTCATAGTCATGTCTGTCTTAGTGGAAATGTTTGATTTCCTGTTGATTTTGTGTTTGTCTGTTGAAAATGAAGGAAAATAAATCTAGTTTAATAGATGTTTGTTTCAAAGAAGAGTTTTGTGTTGACCCCTTTGCTCATTCCCACACACCTTGAAGACTTGAGAGCAAGATTACTACAGTATAATCGTTGTCATCTGACACACATTTTGTCTTTTCAGTTAACGCCTGTGCTCCTCGTCTCCCTCTGTTATGTAAAAGCTCTTTTATTCCTCCGCCACCCCCTCCCTTTGCTCGCTGCTGTGCCACGGTTTGGTGGCAGAGTGCCAGCCTGTTAGGAAGATGAGACTCCAATCAATCAGGGCCTCCGAGGGGGGCCTCCAACCACCAGGACCCCGTCTCTTTAATTGCCCCTAGGCAGGCAGGTCTGTCGGCAGGCTGGGCCGCTGCAACACATGTTCGCAGAGCGAGTGGTACCGCCATGCTCCCTGCCCAGCCCAGCGTGTGAATCCCTTTCCTGGACAGATGGAGGCCTGAATAGATCTAAGTTTGAGGGCCATATGGGTGAACCGGTGGGTGCAACAGGGTAATGTTTGTCTGATTTTTGACATGTCGCAAAGTGAATAGATGCTGCTTTGTGTAATGTTTATGTGTTTGGTTAGTGACTCTCAACCAGGTCATTGAGATCAGAAGCTTATTTGCTCAAATATGTTTAAAGGGAACATATGTTTTTTTAAAGGTGTGGAACACTGGAAAACCAAATTTAAAATCGTATTTCTGATTATCATTGGTCATTCTGCATTTAACATGTTAGTTGAACATGAAAATAGTCTCCTACACCTATCTCCTGCAGTAGCTTATGATAGAAAATAGACGGTGAAACTCTAGGATTTGAAAATCTTAACAGATCTACGTCACGCTGTCACTTAACAATCATGGACTCACCCACCTTGACTCACGACAGGGAAGGCTGTTGTTGGTTTAGTGTCCAGGAAACTGCAGATAACATCTCAGCTAGTAGAAGCTAACATTAGCATTAGAATCTTCACCACACAGCAGAACTCCGCCAAGCTTGAGTTATTTATGGAACATCCACGTTGCTGTTATCCAATCCGAGATATACAAATATCAGGATATAAGACTCAAATCCTGCTGTCTGAAGCTCAACTGTGATGTGGCTCACTTCTAGTCCATGAAACAATTCAATTCAATTCAATTCAAAAATACTTTATTAATCCCAGAGGGAAATTGATTGCTGTAGTAGCTCAGGATAATAATAATAATCAAGTCGTCAAAGAGTTGTTGTATATTACAATGGCTGTTGGCAGGAAGGATCTCCAGTAGCGGTCAGTGTTGCAGCGAAACTGAAGAAGCCTCTGACTGAAGACACTCTTCCGTTGTCGGACAGTCTTGTGAAGAGAATGCTCAGGGTTGTCCATCATTTTCTTGATTCTCTGGAGAATCCTTCTTTGCATTATCTCCTCCAGCGGTTCCACAGTCGTCCCCAGAACAGAACCAGCCTTTTTTATTAGGCTGTTGAGCCTTTTCAGGTCCCTGCTTCTGATGCTGCTACCCCAACAGACGATGGCTGCAATTGTGTTTCTTTTCTCCCCAGAGTACAACTTACAAGGCATTCATTCATACTAAACGACTGCAAATGTATTGATTAAAGAAATGTGCCACATATTTATGTTATAATAGCTCTATGGTCAATACAAAATATGTTTTTGCACTAAATCCCTTTCACATAAACTGATTTGAGAAGTTTTCAGTACCTTCCCAAATGAGTTGTTTCGGGGCTCTGTCACTTTAAGAAAATAAGCTTGAATTTGCCACGCCCACTCCTCGCCTGCTCAGGCTGCTATAAGCTGAGAAGCTCCAATATCTTGGAGGGGCTCGGAGTAGAGCCGCTGCTCCTCAAAAAGCAGCTGTTAATGTTCTCATTTGTGATGTCACAGATGGGGATTTTTGTAAATGACTTGTTTTAGGTACATAATTGCTGAAACAAAACACTGACAGAAAATGAATGCGAGGGTCATGCTTGGAGTGTTTATGAAGGACGTAGAGACACATATAGCAGCAGAAAAGGATGCAAAAGGTGAGTTTTGAATCATCTGTTCGCTTTAACGAATCTCTGTTGCTTAACAACAATTATTTGTCTTTGTTTTTATTTTGAACATGCGTACATACACATAGTAATACACACAACATAAGTTAACTTCTCCTTCAGTTTTTATTTATTTATTTATTTATTGTACACATGTTCAAAAGGGAGTAGGAAGAAGCATCAGCTTATTTAATCCCACCCCTTTCTCGACATCAAATAACTAATCGTTATTTAATGTTGTCTGGTAGTTTTTTGGCAAATTACTTTGCAACATATTCACACAAATGGTACATGGTTTATCAAGATCATATCATAAATACAAACATTTTGTGTTTAGGCACACACTTTTGGACCTTCTTCCTTGTATTTGGCAAACATCATGAGTTGAAGCCTTTTTTTAAACAGCATTATTCTAAATCAAAAAAGTTTTTATTAAATAATTTATACTTTTAAGTTACATTTTAATAATCTTTAAACAGTAACAGGACAAAGTAAGCTTAAACGAATGTATTTTTAAAAATTCTGAGAAATAACAAAACTGTGACCTGAAACATCCAGACATTTATATTTATCTTCACATTTATTAAATTACCAAAAGGTTGAGCTAATATTGAGAAGCAAAAGCCTCTTCTATCTGCAAAGATTAAAAACAAAAAATGACACACAGTAATTAAGAGCTGAATAGATGGCGAAAATAGTTAACCAGATTTTTTGCATATTTTAAAATGCAACAAGTAACTAAAAGTTGTGAGAGTAACTAAAAGTCGTGAGAGTAACCTATTTTGAGAAGAGAGAATTAAAGAAACTAAGAATGTGAGGAGGCTGCAGCTGGAGAAAAGCAAAGTGAAAACATTAAGGAGATTAAGAAGAAGAAAAGTGTGAGACTGTAAGAAAAACACACACAGGGCGGAGGAAAGAGGACAGGAAGATAGAGGAGGAGGGGGTGGGCTTTATGGCTGCTCATCCGGGTTAATGATGTAGAAAATCCCCCAATTAGAGCATTTTCCTCTGTTGCAGGATGAGTTCAGAGAGGGGTCCTCTGACAGTCCAGGGATTATCACCCAGGTTGGGCCTGAGCAGACACCTAACAGACTACTGAACATTTCTGCAGACACTGGGTTAGGCTGCAGTTAAAGTCCGGGGTCAAAAAATTCAAGCTAAATCAAACGTCTAACTATTTTACTGACATAAACAACAACGAAAATAACACTTTCTTAAATATTAAATTGTTTTAAAATGTGTCATTATTTCAATTCAGTGGATCCAGAATCTATTTAGAAAGTCACAATATTACAAGAGCAATCAAACACAAACATCTGGATTAGACCGAGAGTCTATAATGCCCAGATATGTTCTGATGTTAAACAATAAAACGTCAAAATGACAAAAATGTTGGTTGGTTTCAGACAGAATTGCAGCTTTTAATCCTTCCTGCCCCTGACGCTTGTCACAATGAACATAAGCAGAAGCCTGTCGCTTCAGAGTAGAATTCATAGATCCTTTTGCATTTGAAGCCTTTTGTCTTTTGCATCATATTTTCTAAATATAGAAAGAAAAAATATGAGCTGAAATAAAATTACAATAAAGAATGGAGACAGATTTATTCTTGATCACTGAAAGACACAACAGACAGTTGAAAGAAATGTGTGAAAATGTTGTCAAATGTATAAAAAACCTTAGAAAAAGCAAAAGAAACAGTCGTATATCTCATGACCTTAAGTGACAATGTGGAAAAGACAGGCAGACTAGCGAGCTTACGACTTCCTCGAAAGCATCCTGGTGTCAGATATTCCGTTTAACTCCTCCAAGTCCTAACGTGCTAGTGGTAGCTAGTGTACTTCACGTTGCATCAGGTCTTAGTGAGCTAAGGAGATGAGATTAAAGGTGTGATTTACAAACGTGACCTTCTCCATAAATAAAGGTCTACATCTGCATGGTTACTGAGAATCTCTGCTCAGCTTTATATAGAAGACCTTACGGGGAATGATCACTTGACCTTAGAAAAATAGCATAGACACCTAGAAACATAAATAAATAGAAATGAGAACTTTAAAATTATAGTTGTTATTTATTTTCTTATTGTTATTACTAATATTAATCACAATTATTTAGACATATATTCAGCTTAAAAATGCATAAACTGATAAAAAAACATGCATAACTTAATAACAAAGCTATGCTATGAAACATGACAGCAAAAGGTTTGAATACATTGCAATCACATGTAATCAGTCATGATTAATTTTAAATTGTAATGTCTCATGGAAGGTCCCCTCCAAACAGCAGCAAAATGAGCAACTGCTACAGTTGCAGTAATAATCTAAAACTGATTTAGTTTAAAAAATATGTAAATCTATGTTGCAAATGTCCATCCATCCATCCATTTTCCTCCGCTTATCCGGAGTCGGGTCGCAGGGGCAGTAGCCTAAGGCGAGAGGCCCAGACTTCCCTCTCCCCAGCCACTTGGGCCAGCTCCTCCAGGGGAATCCCAAGGCGTTCCCTGGCCAGGTGAGAGACAACGTCCCTCCACAGTGTCCTGGGTCTACCTTTAGGTCTCCTCCCGGTTGAACGTGCCCAGAAAACCTGACCAGATGCATGAGCCACCTCAACTGGCTCCTCTCGATGTGGAGGAGCAGCGGGTCTACTCTGAGCGCCTCCCGAATGACCGAGCTTCTCACCCTATCTCTAAGGGAGAGCCCAGCCACTCTTTGGAGAAAACTCATTTCGGCCGCTTGTATCCGCGATCTCGTTCTTTCGGTCACTACCCAAAGCTCATGACCATAGGTGAGGGCAGGAACGTAGATCGACCGGTAAATCGAGAGCTTCACCTTCTGACTCAGCTCTCTCTTCACCACGAGAGACAACAACGCCAGTACAACGCCCGCATCACTGCAGATGCAGCACCAATCCGCCTATCGATCTCACGCTCCAGTTTTCCCTCACTCGTGAACAAGACCCCGAGATACTTAAACTCCTCCACTTGGGGCAGGAC